GCAATTAATAGAAACTAAGATAAGTTCTCTGCCCTCTCAGCACTTATGATATAGTGGCAGAAATTAAAACTTAAAACTCAAGTAACTACGTATGTTAACTATGGAAGGAGTCTGGCGGCTGCTCATAACTGAAGATAGCTCTTCACAGAATTTCTTAGTGATGGTGAATACAGATGCCTTCAAGCAGAGTGAAGTCACAGGTTGATTAGGATTCAGACTCTTCCACAGTGCTCACAAGTGAATCACCTCCTCCTCCCTTCACTTTGCCTTGTAATTCCAAATCAAGGCAGCAGATGGCACTATCACCTCATCCTCCACAGGAAAACGCCTGGTCATTTAGTTACTCATTCTGCACCTCTCTCAGCCCCTGGCCGGTGACCTCACCAGAGATTTAAAAGCCACTATATCCTACTGCTGAGAAACAAGAGGAGAACTTAAAGGGCACATCTAAAGCCTTCATCTAAAGCTATCCATTTGTCAAGAATCAGGAACATTGGGCCTCTTGATTCCCTTCAATTAAGTAAGGATTTTGAATTTAGAAGTTCTCTCTATTGGACGGTTCTACCCTCCACCCACCTCTTTATAATCCAATGACTCAACCATGGTTGTTTCCCCTATATAAAGGGGGGGGGCATGTGACAAAATAGTGCAACTATTTTTGTGGGGGTTAATTTCTGTTTTCTTAAATGAAACTATAGTTTCATGTGGTTTTAACCTGTAAACCAAGAAAATCATAGATGCTCTGGTACTGTCATTACTGGACAGTACAGCTATTCCATTGTGTGTTTTTATCTGCCTTACCACTATATTTTTTTCTTCCTACTAAAGATCCTGTCACAGGGGTGGGGTGGAATGGGGGGTGGGGTGGTGGGAGGGATTCAGGGAGCATTGGAGGTGGGGAATGGGCACTGGTGGAGGGATGGGTACCCAATCCTTGTATAACTGAAACCCAAGCACAAAAATCTGTAAGTCTACAACTGTACCTCATGGTGTTTCACTAATTAAAAAAATCATGCCGAGTTGAAGGACACAAAAAGGTCAAACCAGATTTGATCCTTTGTACCCCATATGGTTCCCTGAGCTCCTCCAGGAGTGATCCCTGAGGACAGAACCAAGAGTAAGCCTGGAGCATTGCTAGGTGTGGCCCATCCTCAACAAACAAACAAATAAACAAACAGCAAAGAATATTCAACCTCAACCTGGCCAATATAGTCAATTAAAGTAAATATAATGGCCAAGAAGATTCCTGGCAGATGGAAGGAATATTAGTGCCACACACCACCAACATGAACATACACAACAATTTTTACTTGGGTAATTTTGAGCCACCTTTCTTGGTTGTCCCTGTTTTCCAAAGATAGCCTAAAGACAACCTGACTGTAATTTGGGATTAGAAGTCAGAATTGCCAATAGTTTAGTCCAGTGACTTTTGACACTTTAAATTCCTCTGAATAGTTTTGCCTGAAAATAGGCTAAAGTCTAGTGTTTGAGTTGTTTGAGGACCTCAAATTTCCCAAGGTACATTTCTAATTTTACTGCCAAATATAGATTCGGAACAGGTTAGAAGGGTTTGGAATAGTTCAAGCTCACTCAAAGTACAACTTACTAGGTTTGCATCATTTGTAATGTCTGTGTTCAAGGGGAGTTTTGAAATAAATATTCATACTGCACACTGAACATAAAATCAAAGAAATAAAAATTTAAGTACTTATGTCATTCCAGGTAACCATTTATAGTTAATATTTGCATAGAAACTTTATTTATTTATTGACTTGCAACAACATTCAGAAGCTTCTAAAGTTGATAGAGAAGAAATAAGAATTTTACCAAGATGGCATTTTCTGGACTAATTGGGAAATAGGATTTTTATAAAGCTTTGCCATGCTTATTTTCTGTATAAACAAATTTCTTATTTATATGTCTATTGTTTCAGTGAAAGAAACTTTCTGAAATTAAAATAAACAAAAGAGATGGCTGGGGAGATAACTCTCCTGGCTCTGAGCTCAGGGATCACTCGTGGAGATCTTGGGGAACTATATGGGATGGAACCCAGTCAGCCATGTGCAAGGCAAATGCCCTTCACTCTCTACTATTGGTCTGGACCTTCAGCTATTCTGAATGCAGTTCTTTTAGCTATTTTATTGATGAAAAGTATAAAAAATTTAATATGATGATGAATTGTATTATTAATTTATAAATGTGATTTTTTTACTTCAAATTCTTTTCCCATTCCTCTTCCCTTTTCTCTCTTTCTTTTTTTGTGGGGGGGACCACAACCAGAATTATTTAGGAATTACTCCTGCCTCTGTGCTCAGGGATCACTTTTGGCAGGACTGGAGGACCATATGTTGTGCTGGGAATGGAACCCGGGTCGACGACATACAAGGCAAGAACACTATCCACTGTAATATCACTCCAGACCTTCATATTCTCCATTTTTCTTGGAAGCTCATTCTTGCTTTATAGATATAATTTTGCATCAACTCTCACTGACAATATAATTATATCATTGTTACTCTTTCTTCCTGAAGAAGGTTAAATTTTATGTATCTGTTTCTAATATTATTAACAATACAATGCAAATAAATCATATTTTAAATATATTTCTTATATTAGTATTCAATTATTTTTTCCCTCTGAACACACAGATTTCTGTCCCCACTCTATCCCACCCCATAGATCTTCAGGGGGGCATCCCACCCATCACTCTCCCCAACTTCCCTCATCAGTATGGCAGGATTTATGTAATTACTGTTCAGTCCTTTTAGCTCCAGATCAGCAGAAATGACTAAGTTTACATTTAATCAAATACTTCTATGGCATGTAGAGAGACTATTGTCTCGTAGGATTGTGATTAAACAGATGTGTCATTTAAGTGAAAGTTTTTATACAAAGATTTTCCCGTTGAGGAAAATCTGAATTGATATGAGAAGGAGTTTCATATTACTGCTTTGGAAGGTGCTCCCTCATTAATATTCTCTACTTCGATTTAGTAGGGTGACCTTTTCTCCTAGAGTCAGATTTTGTTTGTTTGCTTTTAATAACAATTATTTGGTTCTCAATGCCCGATTATAGACTTGAAGAGTGATGAAGACTGAGATGGGATCCCTGTTACTGCTAATTAATGTCCCTGCAATAAACTAGTAAAACTTTGTGACAAATAAGCAAGAGGCAGAACCTCAGTTGTTTGCATTCCTTTGATATGGTGAGGGTTGCAAACAATGAACAGCTTTTATAAATCTATATATTTTTTTCACTCAGCCTCAACAAATTTCAGTAAATCTGCATTCCTAAGGTGAGCACAGGCTTAAAATGCCTGTTTGAGAAAACTCATTTAGTCAATATTTACCATTTGTTCCAGTTAAGAGCTTGGTCACAGACCTCACAGTTACCCTAGAAAAATTACAAGTGCAAATCATTTCTCTGCCCTATGAAATTAGCCACCCCAAATGATTTCCTCAAGGACCTGAAAGTCATCTATTTAAGATACTTTTAGGGAAACAGTTCTTATTTTTCCAGTATTTGTGGGAGTGAAGGGCCTAATGCCAGTATGAGGTATATCTTGCTTCAATGTGCACCAAACCCCAATCATAATGACTAGAAAGAGATTGTCTCTAGCTAAGTGTCAACATACACCAGAAGATCTAGTCCCTTGACTTAATACCACTTAGCACACTTTAGCCTTTTAAAAATAGCTAATCACTTCATTGGGGGGAAATTGAATTCAGTCCATCCTCTCTCTTATCCCACTATAATAGAATGACTGAATCAAATCTGGCTGTTCTCTTTGTTTTTGATAATGGGAGTGACATGATTCATTCTGTTGGCTTCAGAGTCCCGTAATAGGTTGGGCACTGCTCTAGTTTCCAACCATGATAAGTGTTTATTAATTTCAGCATGACTATGGAGATTATAAGAGTGGTGGGGCAGGATCTAATTTAGAATTTCCCATAAACTGTGACTTGCAGAGACTGATGGAGGGAGCAGGATAATATGACAGATAGGATCAGGAGTTTTGCAGGAAGTTAGGTTGTGTTTTAATACCTTGCTTCAATATTTTATTAGCTTCTTAAAACTGAACCAAGGGCTAAAATTTCTATTTCTTATTTTTTTCCTTTGCAAATAGGATTAATAATATCTTCTACATAATCTTGTTGGAAACAGATTGAACACATAAGCAATTGGTAACATATAACTCAGAGTAATTTTTAATCAGTAATTATATGTTGTATTATTTATCTCCGATAACAGTGGTAGGGCATTTGCCTTGTGCGTGGCCAGCCTGGTTGAGCCAGGTTCGATTCCTTCGTCCCTCTCAGAGAGCCCGGCAAGCTACCAAGAGTATCTCGCCTGCATATATATTCAATATGCCAAAAACAGTAACAAGAAGTCTCAGAATGGAGACGTTACTGGGCCCGCTCGAGCAAATCCCCTAAAACATTTGTTCTCTATTTTTTCATAGGAATATACAACCTTATGGCACTCTACCTGTAGGTTTGCCCTATTAGACAACGAGCTTCTTCACAGGTATCATTTATCCTTGTAACCTTAGGTCCTGCTAATTGAAAAGACAGGTAGTTGATACATTTTGCTGATTACATGATAGCATGAATAAATGAATGCAGATGTAGCCATAATAAAGCAATGTTGAACTCAAGGTAGCAAATTTGTTTACATAGACCAAGTTAATAAATTATGCCAAATTCAGTTGGGAGAATAATGAAAGTAACATAAAACAATCTTCTCATTATCCTAAATTTGATCTGTAGCAAAAATCTGTCTATTGAGTTGCCTTGATTTTCTTAAGACTCATTAGCTTCAGAACAGGATCTAAAGCTAGAAAGGGGAAATTACCACATCACAGGTTTCATTTCCTGTTTTGGGTTATCCTGTTAGACTACTTACACTCAACTTATTCTACATCAGGAGATTCTTATCCCACATGATTTGACTCATAGATTCTCTTTTGTCCATAGAGAGATGTCATAGGAGAAGAGAGGAAAGAGCTCTCTGTCCACAGATAGCTGTTTCAGAAGAGGAAAGGGTCCTCAAACTCAACTGTCAGAAATTGTATAGGACAATGGACTACCGTTCTAATAATGGGAGTTTGGATGAAGATGGATATACTCAATTAGACTTCCGCTCTCAAGGCACCCCCAGGACACCTGTGAGCTCAAAGAAAGGTATTTTTCTTTGCTTCCTTAATTCACATCAACTAAAACTTTCAGATAAAGAAAATTGAAGAGGCATTTACCTGTAGAACTTCTAAAAGCATATCTTAAAAGTCTATATAAATTACTGAAGGTCTATAAAATTATTGAATGCATATTAAAGAAATTATTAAATGTGTATTAAATCTTTTTTATGACAAAAATTCAATAACTAATATCAGTACTTAAATTATTATAAAAAAGAGCATAAAATATGTTTTTCTATGGAAATAATCACTTTAGCTGTACAGACTTGTAAGAAATGTGATGTGAAGTATGATGAAAGAATTTCAATACTAGTTTGGTAAAAGGGAATAGACTGTAAAACATATTCCATAATTTACAGAATAGAATATAAGTAAATATTTATATATAAAGAGATAAGAAAAGGAAGTATGGAAAGATGCAAGGAAGGGGAAGGGGAAAAAGATGATATAATGGTAAAAGTCAAAGAAAACTTAGAATTTCTAGGTTTTAGAATCTTAAATCTGCTGGTTTTTTTTTTTTTGGTGAAATACAGTGTGTTTGAATTTGTGATCCTGTTCAACAGTTCTCTAATATATTCTGACTGCTTATTCTTAAAGGCAGAAATATGTTCTTGGTGTGGTGGTATTGACATAAACTCGCTTCTGTTAAGAGAATATTCAGAGGTGTGACATCAGAATGTTCTCCCTTCTGCTTTCTGCTAACTCACATTGCACAATTACTTCCCTCTTTCCACTTTTGCAACTTTTTCTGAGGCAATCTACTGGAGGTGAGTGGAAAAACTGGATAACGCAAGAGGAGGAGGCATGTGTGATTGTGTTCACAGTGACTTACCTATAAAGTGGCAATGGGCTCTAACCTAGGTGCTTTTGCATGACCTAGATTGTTAATTTATCATAATATCTTTTTTGAGCTACACTATTCCAATTTTTCACAGAGAGAAAAGGAGAAAAAATGAGGAAATAACTGCACCAGGTCATATGACAACTACGTGAAGGCTGGATGTTTCCATAGCAACCAGTTCTATTTCCCCAGCAATAAATGTCTCTTCTAGGAGTGGGGTTTTAGGAATCTTGGTACGATCAATATTAATCCACATGGACATGTAAATGAAGTTAGGAGAACACAGGAACTAATCTCAGAGAACAATGCTGAAGAAAAATGCTAAAGGTGGAGGGGAATTTAGACTAATCCTACATGACATGACTATATTATTTGTGTTTTAGGGATTAATGATTCATTTAAAAACTGGCCAGGTTTTGAAGTGTTCTACTTTATCCCATTTTATCCATTTTATACCATTTTTTCATACAGTCTCTGATCCCTTTGGCTCCTCAGGAACTTGTACTGACTCTCTTCCTTGTCGAACTATTGCTGTGGTTTTGGGAATTCTGTGTTTGATACTTCTTGTGATAGCTGCAGTCCTGGGTACCATGGGTGAGTAATGGTTAAGATGAAAGCAATCAAAATTTAACAAAGATTTACAATCTGCCAGATACTTTATAAAGGATGTGAAGTTCAAATTCTGATGCAATCTCTGTTAACCCTATTGAATTGGAGATATTTTTAATTTCATTTTGTTTATAAAAAATTAAGAGGCCGGGAGGTTACTTGTCTAGGGTCATATTCTTGTTAGTGGTGAGAATATGATGAGAAATTTAGGCAATTTTTCTAAAACACTTGTACTTTCAACTATTTGCTCTAAAAATTAGCCTCCTTGAAATATTTGGCTTTCAATTATAACACTTATCTTCCAAGTGGAATGGATTTTTAGAGATAATTTTTTATGAGTCTGAGAACTCAAGGAACTTGTTTTTATATCTGATCTTTAATCTACAATCTTTTATATACACCAGGAATTATTCGAGATACTAAGCATTGAGTAGACATTTCATAATAAATGAATACTTAAAAAATTATACAATGTATTCTATTGCATTAAGGTACTATTGTAACTTCAGAGACTCTCCAGTAGATAACTTAATTTTCCAAATCTTTATTGAGTTGTTTTATATTATAGGTTCCTGGAGGATTTTTATGGATTCCTTTGACTTAACTAAGACGAGGAATATAGAATTATTAATATCTCAAATTTATCATGGTTCTAAGAAACGCTTCCATTTCCTCTTACTTTCTCCCTCATATTATATTTTTCTATACCTGCTTCATCTTCTGTCTTATTTTCACTACACCCCCTTCAAGGAAGTTATTCATTTTTCACCTCCAATTCTTTTTCTCTTTCTCTTTATCCCTTACCTGCTCTCTTTCCCCATTCACATCCTCCGACTTCCTCTTTCCCTCACTCATCCATCTAAATATCAACTATACCTGTTATCAGCAGCATAGTGTCTGTTTATTAGAAATGTATTCTTTATACATTCCAAAAAATATGAATTTGGGGATTTTTATGTTCAAACATCGACAAATGACTCTTTTTCTGTCAATATTGCTGTCGGTATATGCAGCCATTTGGAGACCCAATTCAGGGAACAACACATTGGAGGACAAGAAGTCTCTACCAAGATATAACGACAACAGCCAACAACCCACACTATTACCTTTAAAGCAGAGTACCACTCCTCCCAGGACTCTCGCAATCGCAGGCAAGGAGCAAGTTAAAGGATTAAGTGGACACTGACTCTGTAGGGCTAATTACCAATGCTAAGACTTGGAGGAAGGGAGGAAAGATGATATATTTTACATGGAATGATTTTTTGTGTATTTGAAGAAAGCACAATTAATAATGTGAATTATGACCCCAAGGCAATGTTTTTCTGTTTGTATACAAAAAAAATGTGCCATATGCCTGGCTAACTAGTTGTTAAATTGTTAAGTTTTCTCCAAATCAGTAACTAATTTATCATCAGCTAAGTTTCTAGGTTCATAAGAGTTTGTGCAAGATGTTGAACTGGAAACAAGTATATTTTTTTCCTTTACGGAACTGATATTTTTAAGTGATAGTTTTATTCCAAAAGAGATAAATAATAGAAAAAATATAGCAAAGAATTGATAAGTTAATTTAAATACATATAAAATAAATCAAACTAATAGATATTAATGAAAATTGGTTTGACTTTTTAATTAGACTTGCTTTTCTTCAGTCATATATTACTGACCTCACTATATTAATAAATATTTGACATTTATTTCCAATTGCATTATCATTAAAAGTAAAGTAAAGGCCCTCCCATTGATCATCGATTTGCTCGAGTGGGCCCAGTAACGTCTCCATTGGAGACTTTGTTGTTACTGTGTTTGGCATATCGAATACGTCACGGGGAGCTTACCAGGCTACTGAGAGTATCTCGCCTGCATTATCATTGACTATGACAATATTTTTACTTCATTTTTCCATCTCTGGACCATGCAGCCTCACTATTTTTTTTTATTAATTTTTACTAGTGAAACCATGAGGTACAGTTGTAGATTTACAAATTTTTGTGTTTGGAGTTCGATTTTACAATGATCAAATACCCATCCCTCCACCAGTGCCTATTTTCCACCACCATGGATCCCAGTATCCCTCCTACACCCATCCCCCCATCCCACCCTACTTCTGTGGCAGGGCATTCCCTTTTGTTCTCTCTTTCCTTTTGGGTGTTGTGGTCTGCAAAAGAGGCATTGAGCTGCAATCATGTTCAGTCCATAGTCTACTTTCAACATGCATCTCCCCTCCTGGAAGGATCCTCCAAACACCCTTTATTTGGTGCTCCCTTCTCTATCTGAGCTGCCATTTCCCCTAGAATGCCCGACAGCCTCACTATTTTTTGGGGGGGGAGTCACACCCGGCAATGCACAGGGGTTACTCCTGGCTCTGCAATCAGGAGTTACTCCTGGCTATGTTCAGGGGACCATATGGGATGCTGGGAATTAAACCCGGGTTGGCCGCATGCAAGGCAAACGTCCTACCTTCTGTACTATCGCTCCAGCTCCATAGCCTCACTATTTTTATCAAGTAGCTAGTACTATAAAATAGAGAGACTCTGAAATGGGAATCATTGTCTTTTGCCTTTCTTTTAATTGAAAAGCAACACTCTGACATGGATCTCATACCTGTAAATTAAGCTAACATAAAATTATTGTATGTCTCAATGATTGATAGTGAATTGATTTATTCTTTTTTTGTTTGTTTGTTTGTTTGTTTTTTGCTTTTTGGGTCACACCCAGCAATGCACAGGGATTACTCCTGACTTATGCTGTCAGGAATTACTCCTGGCGGTGCTCGAGGGACCATATGGGATACAGGGAATTGAACCTGGGTTGGCTGCGTGTAAGGCAAATGCCCTACCTGCTGTGTTATTGCTCCAGCCCCAGATTTATCCTAATCATAGAGACTTATTCTAATCATTATACTTGCTGTCATAGAGAAAAGGAATTCTAGAATGAACTTGAAGTAATGGAAAAGCAAGTCAAAAATAATAAAAGAGTTGACTGAAACAGTACACAACTTATTCATTTTTAAAGTTTAAATACATGAGGTGTATTTGTATGGCCTTTCTGGTAAAGTCATATACAGTTTGAATTAAATAATACATAATATAATGGCAGCACACTGATTATTTATTAGTTATTCTCAGGATAGATGGTACCTGTCATGAGGTTATTAGAATGATATAAGCCTTGTGTCTTTATTTTCCAGGAGCTCTTTCGCATTCTCATTCTTGCCCCCATGGCTGGATCAAGCATAAAAAGAACTGTTATCTATTTACGGACACATTAGATTCCTGTTTTTTAAGCAAAAGAAAATGCTCTCTACAGGGTGCTCATCTCCTGAAGATAGACAATGAAGATGAATTGGTAAGTATAGATCTGAGTTATGGGCTGGAGTGATAGCACAGCAGGTAGGGCATTTGCCCTGCATGCGGTCGACCTGGGATCGATTCCTTTGTCCCTCTCCAAGAGCCTGGCATGCTACCGAGAGTATCCCGCTGGCACAGCAAAGCCTGGCAAGCTACCTATGACGTATTTGATATACCAAAAACAGTAATGACAAGTCTCACAATGGAGACGTTACTGGTGCCTGCTCGAGCAAATAGATGAACAGGACAGTGCTACAGTGCTACAGATGTGAGTTATAATGGTGTGAGAGTAAAAAGTAGATATGGATTTCAGACAATGATCACTTTCTCTAAGAGAAAATAATATTCAGCATTCTCATGATTTTAATGTCACTATTTGTTAAACAGATAAATAATATATGCTCAATACTATAATTATGTATATACAAAATATAATATGTGTAATAATTAAATAAAATAATTACTTAAAAGCATAATTTCAAATGCACTTTTAATTTGAATGACACTAGTTAGATCTAGCTAATTTTGGGGGGTTTAATTTTGAATTTTTTAATTTAAAAACAGAAAACTCTCCCTCTTTTGTCACAACAATCAAGCAAAACAGCAGCATTGATAACATACATAGAAATCCTTGCAAGTTATGAATTACTGTCATACTAATGATTTTTGTTGGTTGGATGCTTTGGAGTCAGAGCTGGTGATGTTGAGGGCTTACTCCTGGCTTTGTGCTCAGGGATAATTCCTGGAGGGCTTGGGGAACCGTATGGAGTGCCAGGGTTCAAACGCAAGTGCTCTGCATGAAAGGCAAGTGCTCTACCCACTGTATTATAACTCCAGCCCAGAATGCTCATAAATTTTAAGAAACTAAAAATAAACCAGCTGAATGTCTGTCAGAAGTTAAATATATGGTATTGACAACAAATACACAAGAATTCAGAAGGAGATAAAATATTTTTATAAAATAAATGGGACTGGTTGAGACAGAGAGAAAGAGAGAGAGAGAGAGAGAGAGAGAGAGAGAGAGAGAGAGAGAGAGCCTGCCAAAGAGGCAGGTTGTGGGTAGGGTAGGGTGGGGGTGATTGAATGGAAACTGGGGACACTGGTGCTGGGAAATGTACACTGGTGGAGGGATGGGTGTCGGAACACTGTATGACTGAAACCCAACCATGAGCAGCTTTGTAAAGCTCTATCTCACAGTGATTAAATAAAAAATCTTTAAAAAAAATGACTACCTCCACAGATGTCAAGAAAAATATTAGGAGATGCTCAGATGATTACATATGTGCTAGTTGTTAAACATTAGAGTAGTTTGAGAAGAAAAATAATGTATCTTAGTAACCACCCTTCCCCCAAGAAAAGTGAAACAATAGAGATAGTACATGCAGCCAGAGGGCGCTAGCCTGGCAAGCAGTTGACTTGAGTCCGACCCCATATTATCCCCCCGACCAGTGCCAAAAGTGATTCCTGATAATAGATCCAGGAATAACTCCTGAGCATCACTAGGTATAACCCAAAACCCAATCCTTAACTTTTAAATAACAAAGTAAGTGGGACTTAGACATGATTAGTGAAGAATAGATTGCATAAGGTACATGAGAATAGTTTAATAGTTAGGCAGTAATAAAAATAGTCTATAATGTGAATATCTTTAACTGTGCTCATCAATATTTTACTTGCTTCTGTCCTCTCTTACATTGTAACTCTCATTGAAATTTATGGAAGTAGATATATGTCAAAGAAAGAAAATGAGACCGGAAGTCTGTCTGGTTTTATACATACAATTCTGTAATTGCAACCATATTTTTCTATATTCATAAACAATTTATCTATAATCACTAAATATCAGATTAGTATTTCATAAGACATGTAATTTTTAAGTTGTCATAAAACTTTGACATGTCTTGTCAAAAGTTACATACCTTTCTGTTTTTCAATTTGAGAAGATAGTGGCCTCTTATCCACAGAAATTGTTTCTGGGAACTTCTCTCCTTGGATTTTGTCAAATCGATTAAATGGAGGCAGACCAATTTTGACATTATGGGTCTATTCTCTATGGGAAAATTAAACAATAATGAGTCAAGAAATTGAATTCACCTTTTGAGGCACTCACAACTGACATTTCTCTCAGGATTGAAGCCCATGTCCATATGTCCTTCACCAAAGTGATTTTACTGTGCCATCTCTTTCTCAGTGTCTACAATGAGTTATTGTCTTTCTCTGACTTTGACTCTTATCATTATATTACCTCCCCCTCCTTAATGTGTTAAGGATAGTCTTTTTAAAAAATTATTTTAATGAATCACTGTGAGATATAGTTACAGACTTACAAACTTTCTTGATTACCTTTCAGTCATACAATATTCAATTACCCATCCCTCCACCAGCGCCCATTTTCCACTACCAATGTTTCCAGTACCCCTCCCGCCACTCTCTCTCTCTCTGTCTCTGTCTCTGTCTCTGTCTCTGTCTCTCTCTCTGTCTCTCTCTCTCTCTCTCTCTCTCTCTCTCTCTCTCTCTCTCTCTCTCTCTCCCTTTTGGATGTTACAATTTGCAATACAGGTACTAAGAAACTGTCATGTTTGGTCCATAGTCTACTTTCAGCACACATCTACCATACTGAGTAAACCCTTCAATCATCATTTACTTAGTGGTCCCTTCTCTATCCCAGCACGTGAAACCGACTTTCAAGCTGTGGAACGATCCTCCTGACCCTTATCTTTAAGTAGGATAGTTTTATTTAGAGAGATTAATTGAAAGGAATATGAGGAAAGAGAGTGAGGGATAGAGATGCATTAGGGAGATAATAGGTTTCTCCAGAGGGAAAAACATGGACAGGACACATCTCAACTTGAGAAGGAAGTAGATCTCCCGAGTGGAGAAAGCTCCCTTTGTGCCTTTACAAAATTGTTTTCTAGTAGGACTTCTTTCGGACTGACCTCAGTCCCTGAAGTCTTTGTGCGTTTTTTTCCTAGGTATTTATAGAAGAACAAGTGGATTTACAAAAAGATCATTCCTTTTGGATAGGACTTTCTCGCCAAGGTAAAGGATATCCATGGCTCTGGGAAGATGGTTCAGGGATCTCGCCAGGTCTGTAAGTATCCACAAAGTTTTATCCTCCCTCAGAGAGGTAAAATTGCATAGTGCTAATGTGTGAATTACTTTTATTACTGATTTCTATCCAATTTCTTGGTATTCTTTCTCTTAATTTCTTGTATGGTTTGGATGCTTGATTTATGAGTTATATTCTTCTCCTGTTTTCAGTACTGTTTTCAGTACGTCACTAGGGTGGTGAGTGGCACCAGGCACACGCGTAGCAGAGCTGGGTGATGGGGATACAACCCAGGATGTCACTCCTGCGAGATGTCCCTCTTTGAGACGCACACCAACACCCATTCTCTATCATTAATTTTCAAAGCAACCACATTTCAGAGTTTATAAAGTTCTTTTACACATATTTCCCATTGGCACGGCTCTAAGTTCTTCCTTTCTGTGTGTGTATTGGGATTCTTCAGAGAAGAAAATCAGTCAGATCTCCTACTGGTCTGCTTCTTTAAAGAACCCTGACAGAGATATGTCTCAGAAGGAAGAATACATTATAAATAAAGAATATATTCTTTATTTTAATAATTTTAAAGAGTAAAAGGGAATGTGCCTGCCACAGGAATATAATATAATATAATATAATATATTCTAGTTCTTCATAACTCCAAATACATATTTGGAGTTATGAAGACCTGGCTCATGCAATTAGTTAAACTGAGAAATCCCAATTTCTGTAAGCTGCAGATCCAGAAAAGCCTGTGATATAAATCAGTGTAGAAATCAAGGGCTAAGAGCCAGGGAAGTAAGGACAGGAGATATTCCATGGTGAGGGAAGAATTCCATCATCCTGCCCTGGCCCTACTGATTGGACTAGCCCCACTCATATATTAAAGGGCAATCTAGTCTTTTGAATGAATGCATTCATTCGAAAGACAATTTTATCCAGAGCTACTCTCAGAGACAGACTCAGAAATAATGTTTAAGTCAACTTGACATATCAAATTTGTCATCATAGAGCAGTGAGAGCTTTCTTACTGCAGTTGTTTCTCATTTTCTTCTTGATATGTGAAGAACATGCAATTACCTTACCCCTTAAAATTATTTTATTGGTTTGTCTGTGTGTGTGCCTTTAATTACTTATTTCATCAATTTCAGTAGCTGTGTTTTGAAGAAATTAGTTTTGACCTTAAGTTAATTTTTTCCCTTCTGTTTTCTTTTATTAAAATTTTTCTCATTAATCTTGGGTTTAACTTTTATTACTTATTTCTATCCATTTTCTTGGTTTTTAACTTGGTTTTCTTTCTCTGATTTCATGTATGGATTAGATGCTTGATTTATGAAACATTATTTCTCTCCAGTTTGCGCACTTAAGACTATAATTCCAATGTATCTTCACTGTTATTAGGTATAAAATACTTTCAAATTTTCCATTGTGAGTAGTTATTTGACCCATTAGTTGCTGATAAATGTATTTCTTCATTTTGATGTGCCTGTGTTTCAAATTATCCCTTTATTTTAAGTCTAATTCCATTATGGTCAATATACCTTTCTAACCCCTGAGAACATTATTTTTTAAAATTCAAGAGTGGACCCACATGACCATTTTGCTTTTACTAACTCAATCCTTCTGTCTCTCTATTCCTCAAATAAGACTTATATATCAAAGAAAAATTTTGGAGTGTATGGTCAGAACTTCCCCTAAGACCTGTATCAGAACTATATACTTTGTTTAATCATTTTTTTTTTTTTTTTGCTTTTTGGGTCAGACCCGGTAATGCACAGGGGTTACTCCTGGCTCTGCACTCAGGAATTACCCCTGGCGGTGCTCAGGGGAACATATGGGATGCTGGGAATTGAACCTGGGTCAGCCGCATGCAAGGCAAACGCCCTACCTGCTGTGCTATCGCTCCAGCCCCTGTTTAATCATTTCAAAATAAAAACATTCTCAATTCTCCAACGTCAATATCAAGAAGAGGTGGAATCATTTTATTATTGAATTACTCACCTCTCAAATGGGGGGGTGTAATTCCTTTCTTTGATTTAAAAATTTCTCTTTCCTCCCTCTGGAGAAGTCTTCCCTTTTCTTTCCTTTGACTAAAATTTGGTATCCACACAAATAAATTCATACACAAAGAAGAGATAGATATTGAAGAAATAGGGATCAAGACTGTGGCTCTTGCAATGAGTTTTGTAATATCCTTTGAGTCTGAGTGATTGATAATGCTTTTCAGAAGATTATAAAGTAATCAAACCTGCTGAAGAGAATGTACAGTGTTCAAGGCACTTGTCTTGCATGCTGTTGAACCAGGTTTGATTGCAAGCACCACATATGGTCCCTGAACTCTGCCAGGAGTAATCCCTGAGTGCAGATCCAGGAGTAGTAAGCCCTGAGCATTACCGGCTGTGGCCCAAAGCCATACCCAACCCCCAAACGAAAGCAATAGGGCTGGAGCGATAGCACAGCGGGTAGGGTGTTTCCCTTGCACGCAGCCAACATGGTCAACACAGGTTCGATTCCCAGCATCCCATATGGTCCCCCGAGCACCGCCAGGAGCAATTCCTGAGTGCATGAGCCAGGAGTAACCCCTGAGCATGGCCGGGTGTGACCCAAAAAGCAAAAAAAAAAAAAAAAACCAAAAAAAAAAAAACAAAAAGAAAGCAATAGAACTGTTATACTTTCACTCACATAACTATCAGAATTGACTGTTACTGTCATGTAATATAATTCTGGATACATTAGATGCATCAGAATACATGGTATTATTTGCCTTACCTTTAAATAGCCCTGAAATGTAGATTCTTTATTTAGTGCCATTTCAATTCTGCTTGGTCTACTTAATATATATATATATTCTATATAATCATATATAGAAATGTATATGTATATTTTAAATGTAAATGTATGTTCTAATCATATAGAATAGCTATATATAAATTATAAATTCATATATACTATATAATTAGACCATTTATATTATATTGTATAAATAGAGTATATATTTAGGCTTGAGTGATAGCACAGTGGGTAGGGCGTTTGCCTTGCACGTGACCGATCTGGGTTTGATTCCTCCATTCCTCTTGGAGAGCCCGACAAGCTACTTAGAGTATCCCACCAGTACGGCAGAGCCTGGCAAGCTCCCCGTGGCGTATTCGATTTGCCAAAAACAGTATAAATAAGTCTCACAATGGAGATGTTACTGGTGCCCACTCGAGCAAATCGATGAATAATAGGACAGTGCTACTGTGCATAAATAAAGAATACAAATATGTTTATACTATATAAAGTTAAATATTATGAATAATAGAATATTTTTCATTTATAATATAAATATTTTAATAAATTATATGTTTTATAAATACTATGTCACTGTCTGTCACTGTCCTCCCGTTGTTCATCGATTTGCTTGAGCGGACCCAGTAATGTCTCCATTGGAGACTTTTGTTGTTATTGTGTTTGGCATATCGAATACGTCATGGGTAGCTTGCCAGGCTCTGCCGTGCGGGCGAGATACTCTCAGTAGCTTGCCGGGCTATCCGAGAGGGGAGGAGGAATCAAACTCGGGTCGGCCATGTTGGCTGCGTGCAAGGCAACCGCCCTACCGCTGTGCTATCACTCCAGCCCATATATACTATATAGAAACATAATATATTATGAAAATTTATATTATGACTATTCAATATTCATAATTATAAGTATAAATTGAATATGTTTATAATAATTATATATTGTAAATGTATGCTTACATATAGTATATATTTATACTATACATATATAAATATATAGTTATATAGTATATAAATATAATTGTGTATAATTGTATATTTATATATAATTCATTCACTAAACTGCTGCTGTATTTAATAAATATACTTCTATGTAAGAGGTTGTAAGTGAAGAACTTTCCAGAGAACATCACATTTCTCTTTTTCATCCACAGCTTTATTTTCTTTTGTGCAATTATGAATTTTTCTTTTTGAAAAAATTAAATCATTTTATGCCTTAATAGGCAATTTTGTATCACGTGAGAACCAATGTAATTTTTTTAAACCAATGCAATCTCAAATAATGCATTATTTTCCAATAATATACATATCAGAAATTTTTTTCTAATAATACTTCTACCAATATTTAAGGATTCTGTATATAGTACTCTTTATGCTTTTCCTAATTACCTCATTGTATTTTCTTTTAATAGGATTGATGTCAAACCAACACCTACTGTCCCAAATGCATCTCACAATTGTGTATGGATTCATCAATCAGTCTTTTATGACCAACTTTGTGGTGAGGTCTCATTCTCTATTTGTGAGAAGAGGCTGCTAATGTAATGTTGTGGGGAGTAACATAGAGAGAATGACCCTGAATGCAGAGCCATGGGTAACACCTGAGTGTCCTGTGTAATAGAAAAGGAAAGGAAGAAAGAAAGAAAGAAAGAAAGAAAGAAAGAAAGAAAGAAAGAAAGAAGAAAGATGAAAGAAAGAAGAAAGAAAGGAAGGTAGGAAGGAAGGAAGGAAGGAAGGAAGGAAGGAAGGAAGGAAGGAAATGAATATAAAGAAATTCTAAATTCAAAAAAATGTTGAAGATGTCAAGAGAAATAATTAAATTTTAATGACAGTTGAGAAAGAGAATGGAAAATATGTTTCTCCACCCACAAATTCTATTGGTAAGTCAGTATTAGATAATAATAGTATGAGCTCATAATAAATTAGACATAAAGCCAGGCCAGCTAAGCTTAGATCACTGTAATCTATCTATGTGATATGTTTTCATAATTTGCTCCTCAGCTTCTAGCAGTATATCATATATAGGGGGAAGACAAATATATTTCTGAGCAATTAAGTAAAAATAATTCAGTATAATCAGAACTGTTTTATTATTTTCTATCAATATTTTGTGACCATATCCTCATTAAAAGCAGTACCTTCTTATTTTTCCTCAATAGCCCAGAGGTTATCTGCCATACTTCTAACACAAGTTGTAGAATGTGAAATTGTCAGGAAAGTACTCTTATAAGAAGGATTTCTGAGGTTGGAGACATTTAAGGGTAGTAAAGTGACTAAGGTGTTCGCTGTATAAAGTTTGGTTCAATCCCAGGAACCACCAGGAATGATTTCTGAGCACAGAGCCAAGAGTAGCCCTTGAGCATTCCTGCGTATAACCCAAAAACCCAAACTTCCACCCCCCAAAGAAAGTTTTTAATTGTTAAATTCTCTAAAGAAAACACATCAAATAACATAGACTGAGTGTGATCATTTTCAGTGTATGACTACTGTTTGGGAGTTCAACAATTCTTCCATTATTATTGAAACATGCCTATGTTTTCTTGTATAATGACTTTTCATTTATTAAATTTTCCCACTGGTGCTACTTTTTATTTCCAGTGGATATTTTTATGTTCATTATAGTCTTACATGTATATTGAAATAAAAACAGAAATTGTGTCAGTTATTGCATTGTTTACTTTCTATGTTTAATTTTGTTTTGTAAATTTCCCTTTAATAAAAACAATGTTTATCAAATAATCTTTGATATCCTATTTGTTCAATTTCTCTGCCCCTCACGGAGAGCCTGCAAACTACCGAGAGTATCTAGCCCGCATGGCAAAGCCTGGTGAACTACCTGTGACGTATTCAATTTGCCAAACACAATAACAACAAGTCTCACAATGAAGACGTTACTGGGCCAGCTCGAGCAAATCAATGAACAACGGGAGGACAGTGCTACAGTGCTCCTATTAGTTGCATTTCATTAGCACCATAATGTTTTGAAATGAAGATGAATTTAATGCAGTAGAGGTAGAAGATACGGAAATTTTGTGCTAGATAATTAAATTGATATCTTTTAAATATTTAAAATCTAAAAAAAGAAGGCAGTCTTCTGCCCCCGCGCCTGGCTGTTCCTCGCTGAGGCCCCTTGGAGGGGAGCGGGTTGAGCTTTCCTCCCTGCCCCGACCAGGGCTCCAGCAGCCGAAGACCTCCAGGACCAGCCACCACCATGCTGAGACCACTCTCCGCACACATGAAGGTACTGGCAGAGGGACAAAGCCACGCGGGTTCCGGGGCCGAGATCTTCAAGCCTACTCGGACTGGAGTCAAGCATCTTCCACCCAGATCCTCCAAATCCCAGTAGGCAGGGGTCACACCCAACACCTGGCACCCTGGCGCCGTGTAATCCCATCAACGGCCAAGACCCAGAGACTATAAAATCCAGCTCCCGGAACCGCGCGGCTGCAAATATCAGGACATTTTTTAATGACATCTTATTATCTCATTCCTACTTTGGACAAACTTGCAGGCTATCGAATGTAGCCTGCCCACAGGGCAGAGTCTGGCAAACTCCCCGTGGCGTACCAAATATGCCAAATACCAGTAACAATGATGGGTCTCATTCTCCTAAAGAGCCTTGAATATAATCTCAGGGCTAGGATGAGAGAGACGTTACTGGGGCCTGCTCGAGGCAATCGACGAATAACAGGATGATGAAATGAAATGAAATGAAAAAAAGAAGGTAGACATTGGGGTGAAGTTCACTGTTGTCTTTCAACAGACAAAATTGTATTGGCATTCTCTAAAAATAAATAGGGTTATAGATAATTCAGTTTTAAAGGATAACACCATAGTTAGATAGATAAATTAAGGTAAAATATGGGATTTTATTTATTTTAATTATTATGATTTTATTATTTATTTTAATTATTTAATTATTCATTTTAATCATTCTCATTGGGGTAAGGCATTTGCCTTGCATGTGGCCCACCCAGGTTTGATTCCTCCTCCCTTCTTGGAGAGCCCGGCAAGCTACCAAGAGTATTCCGCCCACACAGCAAAGCCTGGCAAGCTACCTGTGATGTATTCAATATGTCAAAAACATGTTTCACATTGGAGATGTTACTGGTGCCTGCTCGAGCAAATTGATGAATAAAGGGAGGACAGTGCTACAATGGACAGACAGTGCAATCATTCTCATTAAAGTACAGGGATTTACAATGCTGCTAAGTATACTTTTTATGCTTCTATATTCCACTGCCGCATCCATCACTCAAGAGTCCACTATCCTTCACAAGTGTCCCCAGAACCTTGCCCAACCACCACCATGTGAGGCTCAAAATCTTTGATTCTGTGACTTTGACCCTTCGTTTTTCCGTTACTATATCTCTTTCTTTTTTATGCCGTAAGTGGAGGATCTTTCTCTCTCTCACTTTCTCTCTGTTTCTTTCTCTCTTTCTCTTTATTATTCTGGATGTGGTGACACTTGTGAACATATTGATGAACGGAGCAAAACTTCTGAAATCCCACAACGTTGCATGAAGTGATCTATCAATTGTTGGAGGCACAGAGACAAGACACATGAGAGGAATGTAAAGAGTACAAAGGCCAAGACTGAATCTGGCTCGAGGTGAAGAGCAATTGCCAGAGGCCTCCTTTCATTCAATTCTTTATCAGTTATATCGTAATAACTTCATCACAGAGAAAGACTCACTAACGAAGAGTACAGTTATTAGGATGAGCGTTTGTCAAAAGAGCATCAAGGCATACATTACTTTGTCTTGTCAAAGTTATGTTGTCAAAGCTATGTTGCAATGATTTAAAACGTCAGAGGAAGATATGGAGCTGGGCACGTAGGCTCTACAGATTACATCCCCCACATCCTTGTGATTGGTTATACACACATAGGGCAAAGAGAAGGCTCATACTGATACTTGAAGGTCAATCCAGATTAAGGATGTGTAGGAGAGGAGAAAACTGCTGCCTTGTACTGCCAGGATAGTATATGACTAAGCGGGTATATGAGAGCATGCTGTACCCCTCCGGGTCATCAGACTCACAAGTTTTAGCTCATCCACTTAATATGAAAGTGGGGTCTCAGGTCTGTTTCCTGCTTGCAGGGCAGCGTCCAGAGGCTCGTTCTAATGTCTTGGCTTAGCACCAACACCACAAAATTGTAAATCAATAATTAGTTGATTTTTTTCAGAAACTATAGCTTTATTATATAGGTATAAGAATTGAAATTAATATAACAAAATAGCTCGGCAAGCTACCGAGAGTATCTCACCCGCACAGCAAAGCCTGGCAAGCTACCCGTGACGTATTCAATATGCCAAACAGAGTACCAACAAGTCTCACAATGGAGACGTTACTGGACCCGCTTGAGCAAATCGATGAACAACAGGAGGACAGTGCTACAATACTATAAATAATTCTGTGTGAATATATATTAAAATTTACATGAAATACATAAATCCTACAAATATAAAATCTAGGAAGAATAAAGAGAATTAAGAAACCTTAGAGAATTTAAGAAGACATTAAGGGGAAAGTCTAAATAGGCTTATAAAAATAAAAAGTGTGTTTTATTCTAAGAAAGTGAATATTGGGGTTGGAGCAATAGCACAGCGGGTAGGGCATTTGCCTTGCACGCGACCAACCCGGGTTTGATTTTCAACATCCTATATGGTCCCCTGAGCACTGCCAGGGGTAATTTCTGAGTGCAGAGCCAGGAATAACCCCTGTGCATCACCAGGTGTGACCCAAAAAGTCAAAAAAAAAAGTGAATATTGGCTTTATGTTCTAAAATATTGTATTATAGATACTTCTTAAATGCCTGAATTAATAAATAAAAGATTGCAATAAAAACCTCTATGGATGTTAAAAAAAACTACCTGATCAGACATTAAACATTCAATATAAATGAAACATTAATTTTGTTCTGAAATGTTTAAAATCAATTAGCAATTTAGGAGTAACCATATCTCTATTAATCTAGTAAAGGTCAATTATAAGTGCCATGACTGAGTGTCATACCAATGCTAAGTGCTGGGAGATTTGTCTTGTTCACTTAGGTACCAGAGAGATAGAACAATGGGAGCGTACTTGCCCAGTATCCCATATGGTCCTTCCTCCCTCTCCCCGTGCTTCTGAGCTGGTGATTCCTGAGTGTAGTCCTTGAGCACTGCAGGTTGTGGCCCGAAAACCAAAAGAAAAAAAAAGCTTCTTAAAACCTTCTTGCAAGACTTGTTTTAAGCCTATGAATTCCCTAAACTGTTGCCTGTCTCTCAAATTCTGTATCATTCTTTCACATTTAAATGCTAATCATTCTGAATAGGGTATTCTTTGTGAGATGTTCATTTAATTGAGTTTTTGTACTGTACCTCTACATTCTTTTCTGACTTACAGAGTCTCATTTGTTAGGCCTGCTGTAACTCCTGTGGGCTTTCCTTTGTATGTAAGTTCCTATTTTAATCTTGTTGCTTTCAGTACCCTGTCCAGCTTTGGTTCTTGTCCTTCTAAGCCCAATGTGTCTTGGAGTCTTCATATTTGAGTTTATTTTTGCTGGAATCCTTCAGGCCTATGTATCTTGGCTCTAGGAAATTCTTATCTATTGTTTCTTTCACTATTGATTCTTAATCAAATTCACCTTCCTGGTCCTCAGGGACTCCAATATCACTATATGATTCCTGTTGAACTCATCCTATAGTTTTCTGGTATGCTCTTCATTTCTTTTCAGACATTTTCCATCTTCTGCTGTTTTATAGATGTTTTCTCCACCTCATCTTGGAGCTCCTCAATATTTTCTTCAGTGCTGTTTTTCTGATGCTTAGACCTTCTAATGAAAAAAAAATGGACAGGGGGTATTGAATCACACCATTAGTGCTTAGGGATTATTCCTGATTCTTAGATTACTAATCATTTCTAGTGCTCAGGCATCATATGAGGTGCCAGGGACTGAACACAGGTTGGTCTCATGCAAAGCTAGTGTCCTATCCGCTGTACTATCTCTCCAATCCCCTATCAAATTTTTTTTTAATGTCACCTACCATCATCTTCATTCCATTTTTTCTTGTTTTTCATTTTTAGTTGCAAGATTAAGTTTATTTGATGCATAAAAATGTCCTTATTTCTGATTGTAGTTTTCTAATTTTAGGCTTCATACTTTCTTATCAGCAAACTGACTACCTTGCCACAATTTCTTTGATCTCATTAAACATCCTCACCATGTCACTAAAGTTATTCTCTGAGGATTTCCAGAGATGTTTGGAGTTGCTTGAGTTTTCTGTGTCACTGTGTTCATTCTTGAGCTCAGTGGGCTTCTTTGAGTTTTCCCCATTGGATTTGGTTTGTTCCTGCTGTGCTGAGGGTGAATCTTTGCAGTTATCTCCCCTGGGACCCTGAGGGATTAGCCTGGGAGTTGTTTTCTTCCCTTTTGTTTTTTTCCAGTGACAGGAAGTATAACAGTGAGGTATGTGAGATTTGGTGAGTAAAGATGTCAAATAGCTCTGTATATGACCACACTTTTTTTTTGCCTTTTGGGTCACACCTGGAGATGTACAGGGGTTACTCCTGGCTCTGCACTCAGGTATTACTTCTGGCGGTGCTTGGGGGACCATATGCGATGCTGGGAATCGAACCCTGGTTGGTCACTTGCAAGGCAAACGCCCTACCCGCTGTGCTATCACTCTAGCCCCATGACCACACATTTCCGAAGATGTGGTGTTGGATCTATTTATATAGTGAAGGTCAGGTGCGGAGGTAGTCCCCAGCACCACAGGATGTAGCCCCCAAACAAATAGCTCCATACTTAATCTACCTATATAGGAAAATTCAAGATGAATCACAATCATATTGGAGGGCACACCAACCCATCCAAGGGCCACTGTCTCCTCTTGCTTGAGTTATTGCTGTAATTTTCAAAGTCTCCCCACCCTAGTTTATCTATAACAGTTTTCAACCACCCATTTAAGATTGTAAAAAAGTGAAAAACTATGCTAAGGTCAGTTTTCAAAGGTTTCAGAAGTATTCTGCTAAAATGAAGAAAAATTATGTCTGGTCTCTACTAAACCATAGTTTGACTTTCCATAGGGGAGAGAGAGAGAGAGAGAGAGAGAGAGAGAGAGAGAGAGAGAGAGAGAGCACATAACATGCTCAAGCGAGAACATGGGCTTCTCCAGAGTAGATAGAGTCCCAGTATTCATTCAGCATTAAAAGGCCCTCCCGTTGATCATCGATTTGCTCGAGCGGGCCCAGTAACGTCTCCATTGGAGACTTTGTTGTTACTGTATTTGGCATATCGAATACGTCACGGGGGGCTTGCCAGGCTCTGCCGTGCGGGCGAGATACTCTCGGTAGCTTGCCGGGCTCTCTGAGAGGGGCAGAGGAATCAAACTCGGGTCAGCCATGTTGGCTGCGTGCAAGGCAACCGCCCTACCACTGTGCTATCGCTCCAGCCTTAAAGTATGGAATAGGAAAGTACACATCTGAAGAGGGAAGATGTGGGTGACATGTGCATCTGGGCATACATGTGAGCCCAATGTAGGTTGTTTTGATAAAACTTATCAAAGATCTAATTGAATTACTAAAGTTAAGGAATTTATTTCTAATTTTCATTTCATTCAAATATTAATTATTATCATCTCCTAAACATTTTCTGAAATCTAATTTTCTAATAATCTATCTTCCTGCTTCATTCTCACATGTGTTTAACCGAATTTTTTCCTTTGTACTATTCTATTGCTTTATATGAAAACTTATGTTAAAATTTTTCATTATTTTCCCCATTATTATTTTCCCTGTGCTCTTCCCTTCATTGTGGTTATTGATGCTGCTATGGCTGGGCATTGCACACACACATACACATACCACACCACAACAGACACATATTTATGTGTGGAACTTGGATATTTTTAGTTGTAATGCTCACCAAGGGTTGCACATCTGACTGCAGTGCTCACTTGCCATGGTGCTCCCCAGCTTTGCCTTCCTTGGTAGTAGTGATTGAACACCTGCTTGCCTAGGTGATACTTTGTGTTGAGGAACAAGAATTGTGCTCATCAGGAGTCACTCCAGATATTCCTATTCCTGTCAGGGTTTGCCCTTCCTACCTGTGATGCTTGCTCATCTCCTTAATTGTTGTGCTCTCCAGGGCCTAAAGTTTTATTTATTGAATCACCATGAGAACAGTCACAAAGCCTTTCAGTTTAAGTCTCTGTATCTCATACAATGATCTAACACCTGTCCCTTCATCAGTGCACATTTTCCACCCCCAAGAACCCCAGTATGCCCCCCTCTCCACCTGCTTGTATGGCAGATTTCCACTTTACTCTCTCTCTACGTTGATCACATTCAATATTACGACAAAAGACTCAACGTTATTTTTTGGAATTTTCCCCAACATTCAGACCTGCCAAAAAGACATCATTAATAATTTGTTTTCTATTGCTGATTATGAAGAGTAAGTATATGATGTCATGTGGCCGCAATAGTGGCCACCAGATTTGGGATTTCTGATATTTCAGTAATAAGTCTAGAGGGCTTTCTGTCAAAAGCTGCTGGGTTCTGAGATAGGTTTGTGTGCCTCTGATATCATGGTCGGTCAGGAGCTGGAGGAGGCATTTGTGGGTGGCAACCCAGGGCCTTGTCAGGGCAGGGAGCAGCACCGGTTCCACCTCCCATCCCAAGTGGCCCCGAGTGCCTCATCAATGCAGTCTCATAACTGGCTGACCATTAGGCTCTAAAAGATGGAGGCCACCATGCTGTCGATGCAAGGGGGGACAAGCGGAAGGACAAAAACCCTCCCCCTCCCAGGGCTGCATAGTCCAGATGCATTTTCGTTGGGCATTATATTTTGCTCAAATTTTCCCACCACCATTAAAGTCTACCATCCAGGGACAGACACTAGATCATTTACTTTCCATTGCTCACTTTACATATCAGGAAACGTTGCACAGCTGCGTAAGTGGCTGCGTGGTTCGGGAGAATAGTCCTGGTGCCTACATACCGGAGCATGCTTGTAAAAGCTCATGGTCACCAGGATTCCATCTGGAGAAGGCGGGGAGACAGCACCTACCCCATCTAAGACCTCCCGGTGATATCAGTTTGGTATGGGGCCCGGAGAATTCTCTGGGAGTTGTGGAGCCCACCAGCCAGGTTCCTTCGTTACTGTGGCCTGCACTCCTTCTGTGGTGCTTACATAGTACAGGATTCTGTGTGGTCAGAAATTGCGTTGGTGGGGCTAGATGATCCCTGAATGCTGAGCCAGGAATAAGTCCTAAGCATCACCAGATGTGGCCCAAATCCCCATTCTCAAAAAAAAAAAAAAAAGAGCTTGCCTTGGAAATTGCAATCAATTGAGCTACCAGGTTCAGTTCAGAATAGCCAGGATCATGCTTAGCATATGTATGTGGGACACTGGGGTTTCAAACTCATGACCATATGTTTGCAAGTCAGTTGCTCTAAGCCCCTGCACTTTATGTCCAGGACCTTGCCTTATAGTTTTATTGTTTTTTTCTATATTAATTGCTAATATACTAACCCAATGCAAATAACTACATACATTTTTATTACAAGGAGAGGTGCAAGAGAAATGTCGCCTAGTGTTTGTTTTATTTTGATGAATTATGTACAGTTTAAGTGTGCAGTAAACCCACACTCTATCTCACCTGACGCATCTCTCATAGGGCTTGGCTGTCCCATCTGAGAATCTTCCATGTTACTGTACATTTAGGATAATGGATTAAATCCAGTTGTCATTCAAAATCTAGAAAAGTGTTAACAGAGAAATAAAATTCTATTATACCTATTAACAAAAACTTTTTGGTATTTTCTAATCTATCGTCGAGGGCCCCAGAGAGATAAGTTAACACGCTGACCATACACTTTGTTTGCAGGAGGCCAGATTTCATCCCCAGCATCTCATGGTCTTTTGAGATCTGGGAACACCCCCAGGCACAGAGCTGGGAGTAGTTCCCGAGCACCCCCAGACATAGCCCCTCTCCAATAAAAACAATTTTCTCATTCCCTTCTAAGCTAAGAACATGGCAATTTCCCAGCATTACAAAATCAAATATTGAGCAATCATTCCTAAAAGCCCAATTTTTCAGCCAACTTGCTTTCACCTTCACGATGTACCAGTTATGAAGTCAGATGCTACCCACTGAGTCTCCATCCACAGGAAAGAGGGTCCTTGAACTCACCGCAGGGGAGCACCCTTAAAGCAAACTGTGTCACTAACCAGCTATGTGACTTTGGACCGAATCACTTGTGCTGTCTTAGCTTCCATTTCCTTTTCTGTCAAACAAAAGAGAAGAACCCAGGGGCTCTCTCCCTAACTGGGCTCTTTCTGTGCTGACATTCTTTGCAACGGTTCATCCTCTGCCCTTGCAGGAAAGGAAGGAGGCTGGACCTGGAGTCTCTTCTCTTTCTCCCAGGCACAGAGAGGTTAAATAAAGCCAGCGCTTGCACGGACGGGTAAACGCCTGGGGGTGTGCATCCTTCCCCCCTCCCCCCCAACACACACACACCCGGCCGTTGTGTTGTTTGAAGGGACCCTTGCCATGCTCAGGTCCCGCCTTTCTTGACACAGCCGCGACTCAGGAAGTCCAAACAGATGACCGCACGAGATTCCAGAAGGACAACCCCTCCAATAATTGTTTCAACAGAAACGGTCCCAGCAGAAAACTCCTGCTATTTCCCCTCTGCCTGACCAAGTTGGCTGTGAGAAGACAAGCTTCCAGGAGAGGGCTGGGCTTCCCCGGGCAGGAACTGGAGGCACCGGCTTCTGCAGTCACTCTTAGGGAGAGAAGAGCATCAGGAATGCCTCGCGGGGCTGGAGACCCTCAACTGTCTCCCAGTCGCCCCACGGCCGCGGGGAATCGCACTGCATCTCAGCCTCACCCCTGCAGGGCTCAGGATGCAGGCCAAATACAGCAGCACCAGGGACATGCTGTATGCTGAGGAGGACTCCTCGCTGACCCTTCGCTCGCAGGCCTCCACCGCTACCCAGCGCACGGAGCCCAGGCGCACAGGTAACTCCTTCCCAGAGTCCAGCATTAGGGGCCTCGAGGGATGCCTGGGACTCACTTCTCGTAGCGACCAACCGAGCAAGGGCTGCCCCGCTTGGTCTTAGTGTATGAATTTGTGCAGAGTGGGTGCCCCTGATATGGGCATCTGGGAAATGAAACTCTGTCTCAGTGCTCACGCTTGCTTTCCCGAGGTCTCTGAGCATCCCAGGGGGGTGTATTTGAGTGTCATGCTATTATCAAGGAGATGCAACGAAGACACGTCCCCTCTTTCTGCCTTCAGCGCCACCTGGGATCTGATTTGGAAGTTGAGATTGTTTTTGTGGACTCAGTGATGGAGCATGGGAGCACGGGTCTCACATGAATGAGATCCTGTTATTTTAAACTTATTTTTTGGGCTTTAGAGGAAGGTTTCCAAGCAGGCACATTCAGCCTGGTGTGTTGTTAGGAAAATCCTGCACCATGAAGTTGTGGGCCCTTGGCAGGAGTAACCACGTGAGATATTTGGTTTCATCACCGATGAAATCAGGGTGCGTTGAAGCACGTGTTTCTAAGGTTGCTTCAAATCTGAAATTCTGACTCGTGATAGTGGTTTTCAGTGCAATTGCATCTAATTCCTATTCCTACTTCTTCTGGGGGTAGGAGGGGAGGAAACTCCTAAACAGTGCTCGGGGGATCTGGGGTTTCTTTTAAGAACTCTTGGCCAACTGGGCCACTGATTTAAAGGAGGTACAAATATGCATGGACTGGAGTGATAGCACAGCGGGTAGGGTTCTTGCCTTGCACGCCGCCGACTTGGGCGACCTGGGTTCTATTACTCCGTCCCTCTTGGAGAGCCCCGGCAAACTACTGAGCATATCCCGCCCACACCTGGCAAGCTTCTCATATTCAATATTCCAAAAACAGTAACAACGAGTCTCACAATGGAGATGTTACTGGTGCCCACTGGAGCAAATCGATGAATAACCGGAGGACAGTGCTAAAGTGCTACGAAGGATGTGTGGGTGTGTGGGCTCTGCAGTATTGGGGCTTCTGGGGGCCACGGAGTGGTGTTAGGGGTCTCTAGCACTGTACCCTATGGTCTTCAGATCTCCAGAGGAGCACCTGATGATGCTCAGGGCACCATGTGATACCTGGGATAGCACCAGGATTGGCAATAGGCAAGACACATGTCTTAACAGCTACTGTCTCTCTGGCCTATTGACTCAGAATTTCATTCAGTTGACTAAAGTCAATTTTTTGGTTTTTGGGCCACATCAAGGAGTGCTCAGAATTTACTCCTGACTCTGCTCAAGGATCACTCCAGGCAAGGCAAACACTCCACAAGGTGTATTTTCTTCAGTCTTGAATTAATGATTAAAATATTTCATTTTCATTACATGTAGCTAACATTTTATAATTGTATTTTCAGTGATTAACCTTTAATTATTAATAATTTTTATTTTCTGTTCATAATAAAGATAATTCACACATAGATAAAAATTTTATATTTTGGGCAACTCGATCAATCTGAGGGAAAACACAGCTTGAGTTTCTAGTGAAAGTAAAAGATCTCATACTTTCATATAAACAGGACCAGGTTTTATATTTATTTATTTATTTATTTATTTATTTCTGGAGGAGATGGCATACCCAGCTGTACTTTCAGCTTAGTCCTGGATCTGTGTTTAGGGGACCTTGTGGGGGGCCTGAGGTCAAACTCGGGTCTTCCATGTGTAGGGCAAGGGTCCTACCCAGTGAACGATTCTGTCTCTTAGTATTAGATTCTAAACCAGGTATGTCCCTTACTAATAGTGTGATAATGAACACATTGCTAGAACTGGGATCTCACCTTTCTTTTTTCCTAAAAGTATTAATGAGAGTGAATGTATAAAGAATCAGGTCCATATATTTGTACTCAATACATGTTTAGTATTGTTTTAAGCACTTACACATACTAAATTAAATTAATTTGGGGGTAATGTTAAGTAGATATAACAAAATCTCTTTGATCAAATGGTCTTAAAATTGATAATCTACAGAAGGTCCTGGGTGCATCATTGCTACTCCACCCCACCAAAAAAAAAAAAAAGATATTTTTTCAATATTCCTTTTCTTGAGGATTCCTAAAATGCTCATTTAATGTTTTTGTTTCAGTTTGCTTTGAAGAAAGTTTCTCTCATTGCCCTTAACTTAACATACCTATTCTCTCTGACCACATCCAGGCTTTATTTAGCTCTGTTCATCTGGACACACACTTTTAATGGTTTCTTTCTTTTCTTTCTTTCTTTTGCAATAGAAAATATTATAAAATATTTTTGTTTCTCTTCCTTCCTCACTAAAACTTCCCATACATTGTCTGTTCAGTCAATGATTCTTTGTCTGATACCCACTGATGCAGCTTTCCTTTCCTTTCCCCTGCTCTTTCTCCATCCAACCCTACCCCTCTTCCTTTTTCCTTTTCTTTTCAACAAAACTGTCTTGTAAACTCCTGAGGAATAACAGGGATTTCCAACTTCCTTGTTAGGAAGCCAAGAGACCACAGTGGGTCCCGTCAGTTTCTGCATTATAAAACACAGTTTTTCCTACAAAACTTTTTGTGTGGATTCAGTTCCGAGGTTTTTATGTGGCTTCTGTGTAACTTTATGCTTCACCTTTGGCTAGAGCCAGGAACTCTCAGGGGGATTAGATACCAGCATAATCAGGAACAGGGTGTACAAAGAACACTAAAGTTAGCAGGCTAAAGCAGGGAGTGGAGGAGAATAAAGCCCTAGCTGAAACATCTGGCAGCCTTTTAGTAAGAAATGGAAACTGAGATAGTAGGACTGGAATTCACAGAGGAGTGTCTTGGAGGCAAACATTTCAAAATAGTTACCTACCCACATGTGAATGATTCATGTTTTTTTTTTTACCTATGATAATGCAAATATTTAGAGGAATATCATTCTAAAAGTCTTTTATTAAGAAAATTAATTTGACATAATGTTGCTGTTAAAAATAACAGGTTTTATTTTTCATCAATGAGTGCAGAAAATTCTCATTCCACATAATGTGACATTCTTATGGAAGATAATTAATTTCCTCTTTAGAATGAATAGGAAGAACTGATTACAAAAATAAATTCATTGATTTTTTGGGGGGGGGTCGAAGGTGGTATAAGTGTTAAAAAGTGCCCAACAAGGGGTTAAAGAGATAACCCAAAAGATTCCAGATTTGCATGCTGGAGGCCCAGGTTTAGTTTTTGGCACCACATGCTCTTCAAAGCACTGTAGGGAATAACCCTAAACACAAAGCTGGGAGTAGCCCTTGGGCACTTCTAGGGTGTGACCCCCAAACCAAAAGGTAGGTCCAGGGGGAGAAACAAAACAAATGGATTACCAAGAGCAAAAAAAGAGACATTACCCTTACACTTTTCCATACACGTTTGCTTTGGGTCATGCTAATTCTGGCCTATTGCAAATTACTGAGGCTATCATGCCAAATATAACATGACTCCTGCTAATGAGGAAATTTGAAGTCTGATACAAGTTTCAGGTAAGCAGCCAGTGATAAGGTGCCATGATGGAGAGTAAGGTTACCTATATTCGGCAGGGATGGAGAAGGTCAGGAAAAATTGGAGAAAGAGAATGTTGAGTTGAACTGGCTTCAAGATGTTCCCTGTGATCTGGTACCAGGAGTGGAGGTGTCAAAAGGGCTGGAGCACTGCAAGAAGAGAGGTAAATGAGTGGAAAGTCACGTAGGTTTAAATAAGTTGGTGTTTTCAGAGAATTATAAATGATGTTATGGCCGAGGAGTAGAGTTGGAAGGGGAAGCTTGATCAAAGATAAGACTAGCAAGTTACAGAGGATTTATTGTGTTCTACTGGCTGGAGTGATAGCACAGCGGTAAGGCCTTGCACGCAGCCAACATGACCAACCTGAGTTCGATTCCTCCGCCCCTCTCGGAGAGCCCGGCAAGCTAACGAGAGTATCTTGCCCCCCACGGCAGGGCCTGGCAAGCTCCCCGTGACGTATTCGATATGCCAGACACAGTAACAACAAAGTCTCCAATGGAGACGTTACTGGGCCCGCTCGAGCAAATCGATGATCAACGGGAGGGCCTTTACTTACTTTCTTACTTACTGCAGTATTTTGATTCTTCTCAGTAGGTAAAATGAGATCACTAAAGGATTTATAGGGAGTGATGTAATCCATTTTGTGTTCTTGGAAGACCATTTAGGTTACAAAGAGGAATGAAAGGAATTGAAGTTATATGAGCTGATACCCAGATTAGACAGGGGTGTAAGCTGGAGGTTCAACTTGCACTGAAATATCAGGGGTGAGGAGCAGCAACCAGACATGAAAGGGATTGCAGAGGCAGCGTTTTAATGTTTGGTGACTAGTGACCAGTAGGAAGAGAGTCAATACAGTAGTTGAGTAGATTCTATTTGATGCTCTGTGCATGGTGCTGCCTTAACAGTAATGGGAATTGCAGGAAAAATGGGAAAGATAACAAATTCAGTTTGAGTTTTAGATACTCCAAATGATAAGGGATGTGTGCTTAATTGTGAACTGTGACATCAAAGATCACATTTGATCTAGGTCTTTAGGACTGATTCTAGGTTTATAGTCGGATCAGGGTAAGGCATAGGGTGGTTCCATGCAAAGATAAAGCAATCTAGAACTTGCTTGTTGCACATGTGAGACAAAAACTTAAATAGAATAATAGAAGAAATGTTAGTTTTGGGTTGGAATATAGATCAGAGTGAGAGCATTCTGGACATCAGCTGCAGAGCTGAACTTGAAGACATGGTGAATGGTTAGGGAAAGGGTGGTAAGTTCTCAAAGCTGGGACATGTATAAGGAGAACTGGAGCAAGTGGAACTAGGAAGCAGGATGGAATTCTGTTAGGCTGCGTCCTGTAGAGCAGGTTTGAAGAAAATTATACTCCTTGGGTTAGAGATTCAATCAATGCTTTGGAAGGTTCATATTGGTGGTAGAGAATGTAGGATGGAAGGTGGTATTTCTGAATAATTTCAGTGTATAGAA